GGAATCGTTAGGCGAGATTATACGAGGAGGCTTGCCTCCCCCTCCTCGATCTTTCGCGCGCGCGAGAACGCAGAAGAGAACGGGGAGGAGGGACTGTTAACGGGTTGCATAGGTGGCTGCTAAATGAAATTTGTTGTTTCGTCGTGAGTTTATGTGGAGTGGAAAAATTTTTGTGAGTAGAAATGTATGTGTGTGTGTGTGGATAAAATTTTATTGTGGATCGTGAGTTAATGATAAACGAGGAAATTGAATAGAATAAGAGAAAATAAGAAATGAGAAAAGAACAGAATTTTGAGAGGACGATGGATTAAATGAAATTTGGGCGCGGTGATGGGGGTGGAAAAACTTTTGAGAAATTGTGGATAAAATTTTATCGTAATTATATTCGTATAAGCGATAAATGAACATCGAAAGTTGATGGCGTGGAGGATAAGGAAAAATAATTTTCATTTGCGAAAAAAAAAAAGAAAACGATAAATAAGAATAAAATATAAGATAAATAAGAAAAAATAAGAATTGAAAAAAGGAGTGAGACTTTTGCGATTATTTATATAGAGCAAATTTTTCTGATTTAGTTATGAGTCGATAAGAGAAAATTAAGAGGAAAGGAAAGAAAAAAAAAGAAGAAATAAAAACGATAGAAAGAATTTTGAGAAATAAATTTTTCCCGGCAGCATGATCAATGGAACGTAAAAAAAATAATCGATCGAAATGACGAATCTTTCTATAGGACACGCTTGTATACATACCAGATGCACATCATCTATGTATTACAATTATCCTGGGAATATTGGCTCGGTTTCATCCTGAAGATCGTTGGTCGAGGGGATGGGGCAGGTTAACGCCTTGCACTAGCAGCAAAAGAATTCCGAGGGTGGTTTCTGTTAGTGTTTACTTTTTCCTCTCCTTTTTTTCTTTCTTTTTTCTCCATCGAAAGGGTTTCTATCGCGAGGGAAACCCGCTGGGTCTCAATCATTCGAACAACACGTTCGCGTCCCTTCTTTCTTTATCGATCCCTCCTTTCTTTTTCACGCCTCCTTCCGGTAGAGATGCAGCCAATTAGGAATTAACCGCGTGCATACGTTATCGCTTGACAAAGTATCGCGTCGAATAGATGTTTTTTTTTTAAGGATTTATTCATTGGTAGCGAAGAAGAAATCGTCGCTTGGAAACAATCGAAGGAAAATGGGAAAAGAGGGATGCTCGGTGATAATTGTCGCGAACAATTCCATTGAGAGGCGATAAATTCAAATCCACAAATTTGATATTTCCACCAAATATTATTAAATTTCAGTCGAAAAGTGTACGGAGATACATGGAAAATTGTGAAAGGAATGAAAAGTAAAAGGATAATTTGATGAAATTTTTTTCTTCGGGCAATCTTAATTCCCATTTTTCATCGGAGAAAGTTGAATTTCATCCGCGAACGAATGTACTCGTGTTTATCAGTATTATTTAACAGACAGGAAAGGCACGGATTTCGCATAATTTTCCTACCTCCCTCTCACTTTTTGTCGCCCACCATCAGGACCTTCCGACCTTTCCACTGGGAAAGATCTCCCCATTTTCTTAATGTCAGAGATTTCAATTCGTCACGAACACGACCAAGTTTTTGTTCGATTTTTCAAGGATCAATCTTGACTATTAACCCTCTAACGTAATAACTTCATGTCGCTTCATCCAATCTTATTTCACTTCTGTTCATCATTCTGACGATCTGCTTGTACATTAATTATTTAAAAAAAAATAATCGATCTCTGGATTCAGCCAGGGATAAATCCAATCTATCCCATACACGATTCCAAAACAAATCTCTTTGAAATCTTCTCTCATCGTCGAACCTCACAATTTCAAATCGATAAATAAATTT